TTTTAATAAAGAAAAGGAACTTATTTCTTACAGTTATGGAGGCTGAGAAGCCCTAGGTGGGGCCACATCTGGAGAGAGCCTCCCTGTTCATGGGGACTCTGCAAAGTTCCAAGAGAGCCCAGGGATCATGTGGCCCCAGGGCTGAGTGTGCTAAGGGCTACACTCACAACTTATATGGAAGGGTGGACTGAACCAATGAAATCTTCTATTTTCAAAGTTCTCAATGCTTACTTTAGCCATTTTTTGTAACTGAAAAAAAAAATGTAAAACTTTTTGTGTTGTATGATTATCATACTGTTGAAAGATCAACAATAAGTACAAGATAGAACAAAATAACCCAAAATTCTCTCAACAATTGCAGGGGATTATTGAGGATTTAAAACAATTTCATCAACATTTTTCATGTGCAGTATTTTATAATAAAACATTTAATTAGAAATACAAATGGTAAAACAGGTAAATTCAAAATTTTATTCCAATGTCAGTAGGTAAAATAAAGTTCCCCAAAGATGCCCACATTTTAATCCCCAAACCCTATGAATATGTTACCTTATATGGCAAACAAGACTTTGCAGTTATGATTAAACTAATAATCTTGAAGGAGGGATATTATGTTGGATTATCTGGGTGGGCCCAGCTAAATCATAAGGGTCCTTATAAGAGGGAGGAAGTAGAGTCAGAGTCAGAGATGTGAAGAGGAACACAGAGATTCACATGATGTGACCCTCAGCCAAGGGATGCCGGCAGCCTCAGATTCTCCCCTAGTGCATCCAGAAGGCAGCTCTAAAGACACCTTGATTTTAGCCCTGTAAGACCAATTTTGGATTTCTGATACCCAAAATTGTGAGATAATAAATTAGTGCTGTTTTAGGCCACTAAATTTGTGGTAATTTGTTACAGTAGTGATAAGAAACTAATGTATTATACTAACCAACGAAATTATGCTATTGCGTTATTTTCCCTTTCCTCTTATTTCATCATTAAATATTATATAGTTTCTGTCTCACTGCACTATCTCAGTCAATCTAAAGAAATGAATGAATCAAGACATTATTTGGAATGAAGTATAAAATTATGGGTGTGTGTCATTTGAGGGCAGCTGCTTATAACCTTGATTTTGTCCTCACAATAAATCCACTCAACACTACCCTTAAGATTGAGTTTTGCCTAGAGATTTTTGTCCAAAATATATTCAATACAAAATTCAAATATAAATTTGAAGAAAGTGTATTTTACAAACTGAAGATTCAATACTAACTTGCCCCCTTCCATTTGGAAGCTTTGAAGATCATGTGCATCTTTTCCGAGATTCTTTCTTGAACATACACTGGGGAAAAGAATCCTTATTCAATAAATGGTGCTGGGAAAACTGGATAGCCACATGTAGAAGACTGAACCAGGATCCACACCT